TCAGTCAGGACAAACAGTTTTATATATAGAGATGTACAGACACCAATATGGCTACCTTTTTTGAAGTCACTTTCTGTTTTATTTTTTTTAATATGTGTCTTTTTTTAGGTGCCCTAATGGCAACGAACAATATTTTATTTGAGGGTTTTTTGTGTTTGTTTGAATAAAACTGCCCCTCGCTTTAACCACGGACAAGCGAAAAAATATTTTCAGACATACAAATATCAATAAATCGGACTGGAGTTGCCGGAAATTTGGCAATGGACAAAGTGAGGTAGGTGCACTGCTACTTATCTTGCTTGAATTTGTAGCTGTTCCTGGAAACTACTATTGCAGATCCAGCAATGGTTGCTGGGGCGAACTGGATATGATAGGTGTTGTAGAAGAATATCCTGCTCGAAGGAACACATGTTGTAGTAGGGCGTCCGCAGGGCTTCCAGGTAACCTTGTATTAATTGTTGATAATTGGGGGAGCGGTTGTGCTCTGAAATATTGTCTTTTTCCTTGAAGTTGAAATAAAACACGTTCTTTTACTTGAAGGTTATTTTTTTTGGCCTGGTCGGTATATTTTCAGAATATATGTACAATGTATTAGTGTAAGTGTTTTGAATAAAAAATTTCATGTTCTGGTTCCGGAGTTACATTGGCGGTTGGATGGCGGTTGGATGGCGATTGCCAGATACACTTATTGTGTGAACACTAGGTCTTGCGAGACTTTACATGGTATTCAGACATTAATGTATCACACGATAATATTCAATGGAGCCATGAATGAAATGATATTGTCCAAATAAAATAATAACACAAATGGAGTGGCATGAAATTGTCACCCATATCAAAGAAACAAGATCAAAGTTTGACAAATCATATAAATGTCTAAACCAAAATAGAGAAACACAGCAAAGTAGAGGGAACAAACATGCAATATATTAAAAAAGTGTTTTAACGAAGCACACACATTAATATATGACCAATGAGAAAGATTAACCAATCAATATTGGTCACAAGTCTCAAAGGTCTTAACCAAATTTTTAATAAATTTAGTTTCAAGAAAAGCAAATTATGATTTGGATGTATCGATTCTAACTATTCTGAATACAGCTTTAACAATCGAAACAGCTGAACAGCCTGTAGTTAAGGAAAAAGAAGAAAGTGAATCAGACACAGACACCTATTACGATGGAAGACACTTCAGCAGCCTCAAGGGCTTACATAAAAGAAATTCTACAGGCAATACCAGAAATCGATGGAAAGAAAATCCATCTACAAAGATTTATTACTGCAATAAAATTGATTAATCTAACAAAAGGTCCATATGAAGAAATTATAAGTAATGAAATCCAAAATAATTGGTTCAACTCTTTATAAAATAGTAGATGTAACCACAATAGATGCGATTAGATCTAAATTGCAGACTACGATTGTCGGTAAAACATCCGATGTAGTAATGGCAAAAATGGCTAATGTCTACCAAAAAGGTAAAACAAACACTCAATTCGCAAACGAATTTTCGAAAACAATTGGAATCTTCGTATATCGATGAAGGACTCAGTAGCAAAGAAGCCATTTCAGTCATGATCAAAAATTGTGAGCATAGCCAGCTAAAAACAATACTTGAAGCAGGCACATTCAAAACGATGAATTAAGCCATCTCAAAATATATCCATTGCAGTACAGAAATGACTGGCAATGCAAGATCTGTATTGTATTCTCAGAGAGGACACGACCATTGAGGTAATAGCTATCGTGGTAATTACCGAGCCAGATGCAACTCTCATGGTTATAATAACAACAGACACAACGGTAATGTCCATCATGACCAAGGTACTACGGAAAATCAACAAGCCCCTTGAGTGCTCAAGCACAGTAAAAACAAAAATTCACACAATTAATCTCAATTTAAACATATTCGTCAGTATAAAAAACGAACACACAGGTAGAATATTCACATTATTAATAGATACAGGAGCTGACATTTCAGTAAATAAAGATGACTCAGTTGATTTCAATGAAATAGACCATAGTAACATAACACAGATAACAGGAATAGGCAAACGATCAACAAACTCGATCGGCCTAGCATTACTAGAATTGAGAACTGGAAATTTCATTATACCACATAACTTTCACATAGTCCCAAACTACTTTCGGATCCCTGGTGTTGGAATATTTGTAGATTTCATTAAAAAATTCAATTGTCAATTAGATTTCTCAACAGAATCCGATTCGTTCACATTAAGACCAAATTAAACATTCAATACATATTGCAATCTTTCTTAGCATTAAAAACAAAAAAATAGTTGTCATAATTCGACAAATTTAACTAATAACTAAGGATCTTCATATTTTAATGTCCCATCAAGAAATAGAAAATGGTATACTTGTTGGAAATGCAATAACTCAATCCAAAAACGGAGAACAAAACGAAATTTTAAATATACAAAAGATTCAGTTTAAAACATTTAAAAATTACAAAATAACTGATTCACGCGATTTTCAAAGAGCAGAATTAGTACTTGCAAAGTTTAAGAAATATTTCCACCTCAACATTCAAAAGTAATGACAGAAACAAACTGATATTTTTGGATTGGAAACAGAACCAATCACGACGAACAACATTTAAAAACAACAACTGAGATTGAAAGATGATGAACCAAGTTAAATAAAAAACTTCAGAACACCTCATTCATAGCAGGACGAAATAGCTAAACAAATTACAAAACTCATTGATGATAAATAAGTAGAACCTTCCGTATCTGAATATAATTGCCCACTATTATTAGTACCAAAGAAATCCTTACCGGACTCACAAGAAAAACGATGGCGTTTAGTAATAGACTATCGTCAAATCAATAATAAACTAAGCAGAAAATTTCCTCTTCCAAAAATAGATGATATTCTAGACCAATTGGGCAGAGCAAAATATTTCTCATGTCTAGATTTAATATCTGGCTTTAATCAAACTGAACTTGAAGAAAGTTCAAGGGATTGTGAGGTGGCCACCAAGGCCACCCCATAGTTCATAATAACAGTTATAGGATATAAGTATTGTATAGTATATAAGCATTGTATTAGTAATAAGAATAGTTATGGCAAGGTGCCGACGTATTGAAGTCAGTTAAGGCCAAGAAGCCCCGTATAATTTAAATTGGAATTTAGCTCCGAGGCGAAGTTGCGAAAGCTCTCCGCGAAGTTGAGCGGCCGAGGCAAGCGCACGGCTCGCTAGCGAGCGAGCCGGTATTTTGTGATCGAGCGTCAGGGTACACGCGTATCAAGGAAGAGAAAGAAAAAGAGACTTAGAGTGTGCAGCGGAGCACTACGGCTCCGAACAGTGCGGCAGGGCCTTAGCTTAGGGATTAGCCGATGTTCAACATAACCCTCTTTCCCAACCTCAATTGCAGTGAATGTGGTGCGAGGCTATTGTCCGGTATTGTAGGCGGTACGAGGCTATTGCCCGATAGTGTAGGCGGTACGAGGGTGACAAAAAAAATAGTTCCCTTGGCAAGGTTCGATTTTGCAACTGACCGCGTTACTTGCTACCGCCTCTACTCAACCGTCACGCTAGCCAAAAAAAAATTGTTTCCTCCGCAGGGATTGAACTCGCAACCGAACGCACTACTTGCCGCCGCCTCTACTCAACAGCCACACCAATAATTGAGATTTTATTGAGAAAAAAACGAATTAAATTAGCAGCACAGAAAACAAAATCGCAATTGCAATGCTATTAATAGAATTCGAAGCAGACGAGCATGAATGTGGGTGTACATGCATACAGAAATTCTTGGAATTTTCGTTTGCTGCCAGCCAAAGCACCGTTTCTTAATAACTTCTGTGTTTGTTAACATATCTTGATTTTCTTTTGTACTATAAAATATTTGTGAATTCTCAAAGTAACAATTGCACTTAAATTGTTGCTATTATTAGTGGGCAGCATTAATTGGTTTATTTAAATCAATTATAGCTTTGTGGTGGTAGAGGAAAGGTGGCGATAGGTTTAAAATAAAAGAAGCTTCATGTCATATTTGGACTGACAGACAGACGGACAAGGCTAGATCGACTCGGTTATTGATGCTGATCAGGAATATATAGACTTTATGGGGTCGGAGATGCTTCCTTCTGCTTCTTACATATATTTGCACAAAAACATTTCACCCTTTTTACCCATTTTCAATGGGTTCAAGCGTAAGCGGCTATCCACTTTCGTGCAGGATAGCGGCCATACATCCGAAATTTGGGCTCGGCTTGCCGAGTTGGAGTCTCAAAACGCCAAAACGTTCGAGCCGCCATCCGGGGGCGTCCTATTCGACGTGGGTGGACGGCCGCGTCAGAAATCGGAGCCCGACCTAAGGAGCTCACAATTGTACGTCCACAGATGCTCACCCCTAGCTTAGCCGTCACGGGTGTAGGGGAGGCCCATGATTTAAAGCAACAGCGAGTTGGAGTTGCTGCCGCAGCACTATTTCGAGTAGTTCTTGGTTTTTTACGATGATTTATCGAGATTTCCTTCGATGTTGTGAAAAATGTGAATGTGTTCATTACCATAAACAGTTGATATTGCAACGAAGGCAAGCGGTAACTTTAAATTTAAATTTTAAATTTTAATAATCACACAGTTTTTAACATTTAAAGTTGGCCAAATCCCCTACTTCGGGACCGTATTATTTGACTTTTGGAAGGAAATCTTTGCACGCGCTTATGTAAATTAAAGCAACTTGATCAGCTGTTTATTTAAAGAAGCTTTTTGTCACTGACATGTTACCGAAATCCGGTGGTACACCAATATGTGAAACATGCAAAGGCGACATTTCTTAAGCCCAGTGAAGAAAGGCTATTAGTCAAAAAGAAGACTGGCGAGTGGCGCATGTGCATCGACTACCGGCAACTCAGTGCGCCTACAATTCCGGATGCCTATCCTGTTCCCCGGATAATTTACATCCTTGGGCGGTTGCGCCCGGTTCATTTCTACCTTAGATTTGAAGCCCAGGTATTAGCAGATACCGATGGCAGCCGATAGTAGGGAATGCAGGGCATTCACATTCCCAGGAAGAGGTCTTTTCCAATCGCCGGTGATGCCATTTGGTTCACATTCAGCGCGTGCGACATTTCAGCGAGCCCTGCACACGGTAATAGAGCCGGAGGTGCAGCCTCATGCGTGCCCCTACCTAGACGATATCGTCGTAATAGGGGCAACGAAAGAGCAGCATGTAGAGAATTTGAGGGAAGTATTCCGCCGGTAAAGGCCGGCCAATCAGAGCTGAATAGATATAAATGCAGCTTCTTCCGGGAGAAGTTGGGGCATGTTATTTGTGGAGAAGGAATACGTACCGACCCAGAGAAAGTGGGGGCGATACGTAACCTTAGGGTCCCGACTAATTGAAAAGCCCCACTTAAAGAAGGTTCGGAAATGGGCTTGGGATGAAAAACAGGAGGAGGCATTGCGTCAATTGAAGGATAGCTTCACGACTGCCCCTCTGTTGGCTTGTCCGGACTTTTCCGCCAAATTCGTCTTGCAGACCGACGCGAGTGAGTATGGCCTCGGCGCAGTGCTGACGCAGACGTTAGAAGGACAGGGTGATAGATGGATAGACAGGTGGGTCGCCAAAGAGTCAGCCAAGTTCCCAGTCTACATAGAAGAAAATGGGCAGTTATATAGGAATTTGAGGCACCGGACGGACGAGGAGGACTACATTCCTTGCAAGCTTTGTGTGGCTAGTGGTCAGCGACAGAGGGTATTGCAAGAATAGCACGATGCTCCCACGGGCGGGCATCAAAGCGTGAGATAAACGGTGTCAAGGATAGCCCAGAGGTACTACTGGCCGAGTATGTTCCGCGACGCCGCCAAACGGGTGGTCACATGCTGACGAGACAGGTAGCGGAGCCGATGGCAGTGCTCTACGCGGATTTCGTCGGACCCCCTCCACGGTCGAGACATGGCAACACGATACTGGTGTTCCATGATGCCTTCTCAAAATGGGTGGAACTGGTCCCACTCAGGAGGGCTACGACGGCCCAAGAAGTCATACCTTCAAGTCGTTTCTGGATGTAGAGGTCCATGGGTTTTTACCCTGGGTATAGAGGTCCAGTACACCGCCTCGTACTGTCCGCAAGAGAATCCCACCGAGAGGATTCTCGCATTCGATTTTTCTACCTACTTGCGCCGAGACTCGGCTATGCAACAACAACATTAGAACCCAAATAGTGTTGTTGTTGTTTCTACGCGCCGCCTTGTTAGAACTACAGAGAAACCAGCAACAAACACAGTGGCATTATTTGTCCCTTTTCTTCGCACTGAGTTTCCTATGTCCACATCATCGCGCAGAAACTTCTGATCAAGACGGACGACGAAAAAAACAAATGCGCACTGTTGTTGTTTTGCGAGTGATTTGTTGTTGCTTCCTATAGTAAATGAGCTTTATTTTTGAGTTGGATTTTGCGTTTGCAGACCATCCCGATCTACCTCTCGGGATTTTCAAAACGGTAAAAAAAGCTCGGAGCAAGCCTTCAGCTCTGTCTCTTTATTACTCAATGGATATGACCGAAGACAGAGAGGGACCAGACCCGATGGACGTGGAAGAGGAGCACGCGGAGAAGAATTAGCTTAATAGCCGTAGAATAAGTTAAGAATAGTTAGAGCAGGCCTTATAGAATGTAAGCCGCACTGTGAGGATAGGGTACTTACAACTAAGTGATGGATAAGTTTACGAATAAGTCGAATTTACGGATGGATCCAGAAATCGTCGCCACTAACGCCGCCGGGGAAGCGACGATATCGTCGTCGAAGTAAGGGGCGGGTTTGAGGCGGCCACTAAGGAAGCCACCCCACAGTTCATAATTATAATTATGGGATATCAGTATTACATAGTATATAAGCATTGTATTAGTAATAAGAATAGTTAAGGCAAGGTGCCGACGTATTGAAGTCAGTTAAGGGCAGGGAGCCCTGTAAAATTTAAATTCGAATTTAACCGCCGGCCGCCGCAGAAACCGTGCGTTGCTGATCGGTTGCTCAACACCGCCTTCGAGAGGCACTTTGTGATCGAGCTTCAGCGTGAGTACACCCATATCAGCGGAGCGCTAGGGCTCCCGACAGTGCGGCAGGGGCTTAGTTAGGGAGCCGAGATCGGCATTAGCCGATGTTCAACATAACCCTCTTTCCCAACCTAAATTGCAGTGAATGTGGTGCGAGGCTTTTGCCCTGTAGTGTAGGTGGTACAAAGCTATTGCCCGGTAGTGTAGGCGGTACGAGGCTATTGCCTGATAGTGTATGCGGTACAAGGCTGTAGCGCTAGAAGATTCGTTGCATTTTGCAATTATTATAGACGTTTCATTTGCCGAATATTCCCGTCACATAACAATATTATGTAAAAAAGATGTTAAATTCGAATGGACAGCTGATTACCAGCATGCCTTCGACCATCTTAAAAAGGCATTAATGAATCCAACCTTACTGCAATATCCCGATTTTAGCAAAGAATTTTGTATAATCTCAGATGCTAGTAAAGAAGCATGTGGAGCAGTATTAACACAATCATATAGTGAAATTCAGTTACCAGTAGATTACGATTTTCTCAGTTTTACAAAAGGCGAAAGCAATAAATCCACAACAGAACAAGAGTTAGCAGCCATTAATTGGGCCATAAGCCACTTCAGACCAAACATATATGGAAAAAACAGACTTATAGACCCTTAACATTCCTTTTAACAAGAATGAGACTAGATTAAATAGAATATCAGTTTACTGTAGAATATCTTAAGCGGAAAGACAATCACGTTGCGGACGCACTATCCAGCATAAGTATAGACAACTTAAAAGAAAGAAACGTATTGATGGTCCAAACAAGGTTATCTTAAAGACAGGAAAACATCTGCGCAGACGATAAAACCATATTGCTATAAAATCGAAATGAATAGAAACCGCCCAATGTCTATGAAGTCATTAGTAATAATGAAGTGAAAAAATTTGTGATATTAAAATTCAATGACTCCAATTGTTTATTTAAACAAGGCAATAGAATCATTTCGCAATTCAAAATTAATGATTTGTACTCCAATGAAAAATTTGACTTGGGAAAAGTTTTTCAAAAGCTTAATCGTGAAGCTGGGTTACATAATATCATTATTTTGCAGATGTCATCATATTCAAATTTGTATTACTTAATAAATTCAAAAAAATGGGCAACGAACACTTAAAAGAAATCAAAGTAGCGCCATTGACAAAGGTGACACAAATAGACAAAAATGATGAAAATGAAATAAAAGCAATCCTGTCAAGATATCATGACGATCCAATAAAAGGAGGCCATAAAGGGATAACGCGTACCTTGTTTAAAATAAAGAAATTGTATTATTGGCCCCAAATAAATAAAACCATTGCAAAATATGTGAAGACTTGTGTGAAATGCCAACAAGCAAAAACCACAACACATACAAAAGCAGCAATGGTAATACCGAATACACCGAATACAGCTTATGATACTGTTTTAATTGATAATTACTATAATATGTGGTATCACTAAATATCTTGTTATAATACCAGTAGCAAATTAACGTGCATAACCGAGTTAACAGTAGCTAGAGCAATATTTGAATATTTTGTACGAAAGTACGGCCCTATGAAGACGTCCATAACGGAAATGGGTACTGAATATTAAAATTCACTTATAAGAGACTTATGCAAGTAAATGAAAATAAGTAATATGCAATCAACAGTATATCACCACCAGACCGTATGTACAGTAGTAGAAAGATGTCATCGAACATTTAACGTAGTAGAAAGATGTCATCGAACATTTAACGTACACGTGCGCTCATACATTTCGACATGGATGATTGAGATATATGGTTTAATTATTTCATCTATTGTTTCAATACAACTCCATCTACAGTACATGAATATTGTCCCTATGAACTTGTTTATGGTAGATTACCTAGACAATTCGACTAATTCAATAACTTGACAACAAAAGATCCTATTTACAATATAGACGATTACGCTAAAGAATTTAATTATAGATTAGATGTAGCCTATACAAGAGCAAAACCAATGTTAGAATTAGAAAAAATGAAAAACGAAAATTAGAATATGATAAACGAGAAGGAAGTGCTATCATCGGCACGACGAAGATTTAATACCCCTGCAGACCCAACCATTTTATAATGCTCAAAGTGCTTTGCCCGTATCTAAAAAGCACAGGGAAAATAGTTAATGACAGTTAATTAACCGCGTATGGGTAAGATGTCTTGAAACACAAAAAGTTTTCCATATAACAACTTAATTTCAACCGATCGTTCCTATGGCAGCTATATGATATAGTGGTGCGATTTTAATAGGATTTAGCATATATATGACGAGCATAGTAAAACTACAAAATGCCGAGTTTGGTCAAAATATCTTGAAAAACAAAAAAAAATTCCATACAACAACTTAATTTTCGACCGATCGTTCCTATCGCAGCTATATGATATAGTGGTCCGATCTTAATAGGATTTTGCATATATATGAGCAGCATAGTAAAACTAATATATGCCGAGTTTGATCAAGATATCTTGATAAACAAAAATGTTTTTCATACAAGAGCATACTTTTCGACCGATCTTTCCTATGGCAGCTATATTATGTAGTGGTCCGATGTTGATAGGATTTTGCATATATATGAAGAGTGTAGTAAAACTAATAAATGCCAAGTTTGTTCAAGATATCTTGAAAAAAAAAAAAATTCCATACAACAACTTAATTTTCGACCGATCGTTCCTATCGCAGCTATATGATATAGGGGTCCGATCTTAATAGGATTTTGCATATATATGAGCAGCATAGTAAAACTAATAAATGCCGAGTTTGATCAAGATATCTTGATAAACAAAAATGTTTTTCATACAAGAGCATACTTTTCGACCGATCTTTCCTATGGCAGCTATATGATATAGTGGTCCGATGTTGATAGGATTTTGCATATATATGAAGAGTGTAGTAAAACTAATAAATGCCAAGTTTGGTCAAGATATCTTGAAAAACAAAAAAAATTCCATACAACAACTTAATTTTCGACCGATCGTTCCTATCGCAGCTATATGATA